ATTTTTTCTAGATCCTCTTTTGTTTTCAGTTCAGGGAGTCCAGGTGGTTGCATATCAGAGTGTTCCATCTCATTTCCCTTTGGGGTTGCTTTAGGTGATCTGGAAGTCTGGTTTTGAGACTTGTTTATGTGTCTTCTCATTTTGAGGGGGGGGTGTGTTGCTGGCACCTGCAATGCTCACCTCCTGTGGACTAGGGGGTGGTAGGGCAGCCCAGAAGCCTCCTCCTGGGTGCTGGGAGTGGCTCACCTCCTGTGCTCTGGGGGAGGCAGTGGTATGGCGACCCAGAAGCCTTCTCCTCCCCTCGAAATCTCTTTTGTCCCACTGGGTGATTGGGATGTTGTGCAAGAGATTGGACAGGGCCAATGTATTCACTGTGCTCCTCTGCTGTGGACATTAGGCTGGAACCATAAGAATATTTTAGCCCTCATGTATTTATGATCCATGTATGCTGGACCCCTGCTAGAGAAGTTACGCTATGTCATACACACATCAAAGGTAGGGGAAACTCAGGGGACAGAAGTGACACAAATGAACGAATACCATTTTCATACTAGTCCCTTTTATCATGTAGCAATATCTTTTTGCAGAAGCTCCACCCCCTCTAATCTTTATAGCTTTATATTTCTTTGGCCACATGAGTCACATGGCCACTCCTTGCTGTGGGGGAAGCTGGGAAAAAGACAAATACCTGGTTTTTCAGCCCCCATGGTGAGAATGACAAGAGAAAATGGGTCCAGGATGGCTTTCGGGCAGCTGATCAGCAGTATGTGCCATATGTTTTAATACATGTACCTGAAAGACCAAGTCTTGTGATTCAGTGACTCTTACTGAGGGCATATATGCATGGGGAGATCTCAAGGATGGGTTCATCTGCCCTACTGGTTTACACTGACAGCCTACACAAGCATTACATTTTACCCCATAGAGATCAACTAAGTGACATAAGGGAGTGACCCAAGGGCACACAAGAGGAGGAAGAGATGCAGTCAGAGAGCTGTCCATCCTCCCTACAGACCATCAGGCTTAAAGCCTCACCCAGAAAAACAGACTACAGACAGGATTCAACCCAAGGGCCAGCAAGACATGGATCCCTGGCCTGATTCCCCTGGGCTTTCCATTTGAGACTCATATACAATAAAACTTGTCCTTTAATGCTATTCCACATGTTGTATTTAACATCTCAGAATTCAGAGATAGTTCTCAGGAGGAACAGGCTAATCCTTGTCTACTTTTGCAGAGTCTCGAACCTGTGCCAGAACCAACTGCCAGTATGGCTGTGAAGACACAGAGGAAGGGCCTCGATGTCTGTGTCCATCGTTGGGACTCCGCCTGGCCTCAGATGGAAGGGTGTGCGTAGGTAGGACAGCAGGAGTGGCCTCCACTTCTACTCTTCTGCCTTGACTCCCCCTTTACTGAATGAACTCCTTTTCATGCATCATAATCACCCTGCTGGCCAGACACTGCAAACTTCTAAACTATAGTGTGTGTCCATTTCTGAGATGATGTTTGCAGTCATTTCTGCTCTAGACACACTTGGTGATGCTAGAAAGAATGCTTCACTAGTGTCATCACTCAGTGAGTAAGATCTTAAGGCCATTGGGCTATATTCCAAGTTCAAGCAGTATTTTCCTAGAAAAAATGTATATACATATTTTTGGACATAACATTAGTGAAAATAGTATACACCATCTCCATTGTTTAACTTAAATTAGCAAGTAGCCAATTTTACCAAGAAAACTTACTGTAAATTACATAAGCTAACTATTCCACAATTACTTTTGACTGGAGAAAATGAGCAGACTAAATCAGTAATATTAATCAAGGAGCACATAAAACTTCATTTATAACTTTGAGTTTCATCAAATCCATGGCATAGAACTTCTATCTCTTGCTCTCTTTTGTCTTATTTTGTATCTCAGTTTTGGGTTCCATGGAAGCTAAGCAAATAACTGGCTGGGGAGATTTCGGGAAACAAACCCCAGTGGAGGAACAGGGAAGTGACATGGGAGAAGGAAGGCACCAACCAGCGCCAGGTGAATTCAGGGAGCAAGTTAAATGAGTTATGGCACCTCTGGGAGACAGGGGAGGCTGCCTCTGAGATTTTCCTCCTGGGGAAGGGTGCTGGGCATGTCTCCATCAACTCTGCCCTTCACAGATAGGGGCCTGCTCTGGGGCATGCCTCTCCAGTACTCCCAGCCTGCCCCAGGTGGGGACGGGAACAGAATATGTCACAGGTCAGGCAAGCAGCCTATGGCAGCTATGGAAACTGAGAGCTAAGAGGGTATGGGTGGAGCACCCACAGGCTTCCCTGGGTAATGGAAACAACGCTATACATCTTGTGATTTGGTTCTTTTGTGAATCTGAATTGTGGTCGTCCACCGAATTGTATATACTCATAACAATTATACTCCATCAAATTGTTATACTCGTAACTGTTGCACCAAATGTACAAAATATTCAGATCAAGTGAGTACAAAGCCTCAGAAGGGAATATCAAACCAAACCAGAATGTTAAAAAGAGTTCTTAATCTTTTTAGATTTCAGTATCAAATAGCAGCATGATTTAATAATCTTCAAAGCAATAGAAATATTTTTCAGTCAAGGTGCTAGACATTTATTTATCCTAAATGTACACAATTTGATAAACTGCATTTAGTAAGTAAACTCAGTCAAATAGGTCCTACATCAGTTAAACACTTTTCAAAAATATATGTGTAAATTAAAATGTGTCTTCTGTTTGAAAGTAGTCGAAGATTGAATTACAGTCACAGCATTTAGTATTCTTTAGTAAATAAGACTCATGGGACAAGGCAAAATCTTGGCCAAACTGAATCCAAATTTCTACCCACCTCTTGGATTTGTTGGGTGCCATTTTAATCGGAAAGGAAAGAGTGTGGGCATGAAAGTGATCACTGAAAGCTACTTTTAGTCAATCCAATTCTTGTTATTTTCACAATGCCCACAGCAGCTTGCACATTTAACCACAGGTCTGGAAGGAGAGCGAAACATCTAGCCGACTTGATGTCTGAAAGTTAAAGCAGAGCTTGAGTCAGTGATTGTCAGCATAGCTGTCAGCCCCTCTTACATGACTCTCAGTGGGTGGAAGAGGACCACGCCTATTTGGGGCTAACACTGCATCATTACACAGTCACCCTTGACCCACAATGTATGGAGAAGTGCATTCCTACACAACCACCTTTCTTCTGTGCTTTGAGTCAATACTGCAGAATCCTTAGAGGAGCTTGAGAATGGAGTCATTCTTTTGTAAAATGTAAATCTTAACTGTGAATTTCGTTTGCTGAAAGTGTAGCTGTTTTCAAAAATTGTATATGTTATACAATAGAGTAGCTGGGGAGAATGTTTATTCACTCACTGCACATATGATGCATGAATCCTAAATGCCAGACACACACTCCCTGACCCAAAACAGCCAAAGCCTGACATGACACCAGATGCGACTATAAGTAGTGACATTACAAGGAGGTACTGCCCTTAGGAAAAGATGTGCATAGGAGTATAAAGATGTCAAGGGAAGAACTGGGTATGTGCCTGGAGGGAATCTAGAGCACTTACTGAAAGGTAGGATACTGGCACCAGATAATCGGGTCTCTTGGCAAGGAGACTGCGCATGTGCGTCCACACTGCATGCTGTGGCTGCGAGTGCATAGTGCATGTGTCGAGGCTACTTTTCTTGTCATTGCTGATACCTTCTGGTTCTACACCCTAGATACTGATGAATGTGCCTCTGGTAAAGCAGTCTGCCCCTACAATCGGAGATGCGTGAACACATTTGGAAGCTACTACTGCAAATGTCACATTGGGTTTGAGCTGAAATACAGCAGTGGTCGATATGACTGTGTGGGTAAGATCCAGTGGTGCCTTTTCCTTTTTTCCTCCCCCACCAAACCAATAGGCTTTCCATGCAGATACTTTGATGTCAGCTCATTCTGTCAGTTGAACAGTCTACTGTAGTGACCAGCTTAACACAGAGAAAAGCTCTATTAAGTTTCCTGCATTTAGGGACAAAATTTATGAAGCCAGATCAATAAAGATTTAAGATATATAGATATAGATATAGATATAGATAGATATATATGGCTATTGTGGAGGGACACATCTTGACATGACTTTTGTGGGGGGGTTGTTTTGTTTATATTTTTAGTTCTGTCTCCAATTACACATATAAAATAGGAACAATAAAACCGTATTTATATTTGGTATAAGGAAGATTAACAAGATCTCAGTGGTCTGTTGATAGCAGTTTCCACTAGGGTAGCTTTAGGAAAATGAACAGAGACAAGAACACATGCTCTTTCCTCTCTTTTCTTTTAGTCCTTTCATAGTTTGAGCTCCAAATAAAATGTTCCTTTCCCACAGTCATCAAAATCGCTCTCTGATAAGATTCTGGTACCTGTCAGCTATTGCCCTAACCCACGTGAAATAAAATATTTTACCCCTTAGTGAAGGGACCCCAAGTCTCAATGAGCACAAGAGGTGGGTGTTTGGAGAGGCCCTTCAAAGTATTCTTCTTACCCTTGCTATACCTTCCAGTTGGGAAATTTGGGCTCCCTTTAGATTCCTGTTCACATAACTTGTGTAACAAAGATGTGTTCATGACATGGAAAGCTAACAGTTGGGAAAAATAGGATTTCTTTCAACCCTATTCTCAGGACTTCCCAGGACATTTCTTGGGTAATGGTGTTGGGGCAACACTCCATTGCTGGGATTTGAACCATCTCGTGAAATTTCCACAGTTCTTCCCTCCAGTCTTCTCAAACATAGCAACTGTCTGAGACAGGCTCGGAGTATCCATGTTTGTCATGAACTCCAACCCCGTGGCGTCCTACAGACCCATCCAGCTCTGTGCTCCAGTGTCTGTGTTACACAGTGTATGCTTGCTGCCTGACACCCCAGGGCAGTTCCATAGGTTGGGTTGGGGATTCACACTGAGCGCTTCACAATTCCCAAGGAAACAAGTCTCCAAGGCTTTCAAAGTAATTAAGATTAGCATCTGAGCTCCCTTTGTGGCTGAATAAAAAACAATAAGCCATTTTGTGTGCCCTGTCTACCAATGCATAGAAAGAAAGCAGGATGGAGAATGGAGTAAATGAACCTCTCACTTGAGTGGAATTTGGCAAATTTTCCACCTCTAAATCCACCAGACGAGCTCAGACCAGCCTGACCCTATCTTCCAGGAGGCTTTAAACAAAATGCCCATGCCTCTGAGTTCGGATGATGTCAATGATTCCTGACTGATCTTGTCTTTTGTTTGTTAGGAGCTTCAAGCCCTTCCAAATATAGGATTTATTTTCTGTTCTTGCTATTTAGCTCTAAATTAGATAGATGAAAAAGTTAAGAAAAAGCCTTGACCAAGTTACAGACTTCCAGGCCATGAATAAGTGGGAGATGCACAGCTAGGGTGAAGGGAGATGAGCTGCAGCTTCCCTCCTCACCTGCTAGGCAGGCAGTAGGCAGAGCCAGGGCTCCTGGCCAGCACCTCTCAGTTCCCAGGCAGTACTTGATTTGCTGGAGGTGTTGAGTGGCTGGCCTCGGAGTTGCTTGAGTATAAGGGATAGTCTCTCAGTGAGCCCTGTTATCATAAAGTTGTTCACTGGAATGAATGTTCGTGTTTTTAGATATAAATGAATGTGCTATGAGTACCCATACATGCAGCCCCCATGCCAACTGCCTCAATAGCCAAGGATCCTTCAAGTGCAAATGCAAACAGGGATACAAAGGCAGTGGACTTCAGTGTTCTGGTAAGTAGCACCTGGCCATGGTGTTTTTGTGATTGCTTCTCCCCCCACCCCCATGTGCCACGTCTACATTTAATTCTGCCTCAGTCTTGTCTCTTTTGTTAGTTGGACCACATTTCCAATACTCACTAAACTTGTAGTCACTAAACTAAAAGAACAGCAAGCGTTCTTCATATTTTTCTGGTCACAACAGACTTTCAATTACTGAAAATAAGATATAAGGACACAAGACACTGAGCAAATACATCCGTCAGAATAGACCAGGGTATGGTATAGTAACACTGAGCGATCCTTCAGGGTGAATTGGGACCTCTTCCAGAATGCACAGTCAAAACAAAGTATGTTGAAGCAGAGAGCATCGCCTTATCACGATCAAGCCTGGATTCACTTTTTTGAATGTATAGTAGAGTTCCATCGTTCTTGCTGGTGAATTCTTTAATGATTATGAGTTAAAACTTTACATTTATAATCCAGATATACAACTATAAAATGTCACTGCTGTTGACAACTACAAGAAAGATCTATTTCTCATGTGTGCTGTGTCCACAGAGAGTTTACAGGAAATTTCTTTTCGATATAGTTATGTAGGGACCCAGGTTGACAGTAGCCATGCCACCTTATGGCACTAGGTCATCCATCCAAGGCCTACAGTTTGTCACAGCAAGAAAAGAAGCATAGACAATCACGTACTAGATCTTAATTAATTCAGCTTGGAAGTGTCTAAGTTCAGGGGGCAAAAACTCCCTAATAATAATCCTCCTGAGTACCCTGAAAGAGAAGAGAACTCGAAATCATGACCGCAGCTGTCTTACCGGCGAACAATGTCTTATGGCGTCTAAAGTCGGCTAGGCTTCTCCCTCTAGTCATGTCCCGTGTAATGCTCACTCATTGTGTGACTATACTCATTTACTTCCCTGTCCCAACTATCTCATGTACCCCTTAGCAGAGTTCCCACATGTTTCAACAAGTATGGCTGCAAGTCTACCCTACGCTTTGTCACATGCCATGCCCCATGCAGTCAGTGCTCCTGAGGATGCAGACAGCTGTAACGGGGCATCCACTTGGTTGTGCAAAAATGAGCTGTGTATACCATGATGGACATTTAGCAGCACACTCATAAAAGGCCATGGCGCCCCAGTGGGCTGTGGTTGGTAACTCTGGCCAAGAGTGTGTGGAAAAGAATCTAACCAAAGAAAACAAGCCTGGAAACCAAGTGCCATGAAGAACTGCCAAAGAATGGGGCAACCTGTAGGCTGGGAAAGAAATAGTATGGAAACACATAAGCTGTGCCTAGCTCTTCACATGTTAAGATGTGTGAAATAAAAATGTCTTCCCAAGGCAGACTAAAGCCAGTGGGTGTAGGTTATATTCTATCTTCAAAACGTCTGTTGGGAATCCAAGAATGGAGCAGGGAGCCCATGCAGTAGGCATTACACTGCCACAGGCCTTCAGGCTCGGGGCTCTGGGGGTGTCTTACAGTGGACCCAAGGTGGGATTAAGGGGCTGCTCTGTCACTGGCAACTCACTGCTGTGCTTTCTATCCCTCTGGGTAGAAGTACCCGATCATGTCCTTCTGAAAGCGGGGAGGACAATTTGGAGGAGGGATTCCAAAGGTTGGGAGGCCTCCAGAAAAGAAATAGAATCAATCAATCAACTTTTCATATTTAGTGAGTGCTCGGCAACCTGTACCCAGTGACCCTTTGCATGCCACCAAATTTGAACACGTGCATTCCAGGCCTGGGTTTAAATCTTAGCTCTATACCACACTGGCTGGGACTTCTAACAAATTTTTTAACCTCTTTGAGCTCACTTTCTCCAATCCAAAATGAGTCTCATGGTAGGCCTGTTGTGGGTGCTTGTCTCTTGGAGCTCCATAACTCCAAGGAGGCAGGGTAGACATTTCTGTGTATATCCCTAGCCATGGTACAATGGACTTTTATTGTATTGTGGCCTCAGGACTTTCTCTATTTTTATATTTTTCTTTCAAATTTTAATTTTTACTGGGCCAAGAATTTAGCTCAGTGGTACTGCACCTGCTCACAAGGTCCTGAGTTCGATCCCCGGTACCATACACAAAAAATTAATTTTTATTAATACCTTAGCGGTACATAATGATTACTTTCCTCGTGGGGAGTTAGTACATGTGTATAGCACATCTTAACTCTTTTTGGTCCCCTTCCCTACCTTTCCTCGCCCCCTCCAGCTCTTGGTCCCTTGCCCTATTTGCAAAAGATCTCTCTGTTTCTTATTATCTATCTTTTATTTTTCTTCTTTAATTATTTATGCTTTGGATTTCTCATATAAGAGAAACCACTCAATATTTCAGTTTGTGTGTCTGATTTATTTCACCTAACATTATGGTGTCAAGGTACATCCATTTTCCTACAAATTACCCAATTTTATCCTTCTTTATGGCAGAGTAGTCCTCCACTGTGTACCAATACCTCATTTTCTTTATCCAGTCATCTATTAATGGACATATAGGCAGCTTCCAAGATTTAGCTATTATGAGTTGCGGTGCTATAAACATGAGTATCAGGGCTTTCTCTAAAAGGCTTCTTAGCCCAGCACCCAGAAGGAAGCTCCCCCACTGCCATCCCAAGCTCCTAGGGCAGAGAAGGTGAGCCGCACGGGCACCAGAAGCACACCCCCCCATGGAAATGAGAAGACACATAAACAAGACTCAAAAACAGACTTCTGGATCACCTATAGCAATCCCAAAGGGAAACAAGATGGAACAATCAGATACTCAACTACCTGGACTCTCTGAACTGGCAACAAAAGAGGATCTGGGAAAAATGAAATCAAAAATAATTACTCAGATAACAGCAAATGTTGTGCTCATGGTGCAAGACATGATTAATAAATCTAGAGAGGACACAGATAAAAATTAGAGGATCTGAGGAACATGATGGAATCCCAACATAGGAAACAAATGGAATCCATAAAACAGAT